CTCCTAAAGTCTAAATTTCAGGGGCTGCAAGGTTCGAGTGAAATTTCTTTAGGGGTGCAGGGCGAAAAAAAGATTGGGAACCACTGCTTTATACATTTTCTATTTTTCCCCTCTTTACTTTTTTATCAGATATCTATTTTTCTTTCCTTCTCTCCTTCCCTCCCTCCCTCCCTCTCTTCCATTCATATTCTAAATTTGTTTTATATAAAATCTCTTCCTAAAAATTATTTTGAAAAACAAACAAAACCCAACCAAACACATTTGTTTGGTCAGTAACACCCAACCCCTGAGTTCAACAGGCCGGTTATAAAAGAGTCAGTTTTCTGGTTTTGTTTTTAAGAAAACTATTGCATCATCAGATCAATTGCAGCCAAAATAAATAATCCAAAAGACATCAACAAAGAACAAAGTTGCTTATAGAATTCCTTATAGCTCGTCATTACAACATAGCTTTGCTTCTCTTGTATTTAAATATTACTCATTCAGGATGTTCTTCTCCACTGATATGGACTAACCATAAATCTAATATCAAGCCAGGCTAAACAGGGACAGCGAGGCACAAGAGAAACAGGAGTCCAAACTGCCAAACCTTGAACTCTTAATTCCTTGCCAACATTTTTATGTCTCTTTCTTGTTCTTTGACCTATTGGATTTTCTCCCTTGCTACAGATTTCCCAAGGTCAGTGATGAATCTCTGAAGCTATATCAGAATCCATGCCCAAGATCCTGATAAAATAGCCAGCGATAATAAAATATAAACTACTTTGGTTTCATTTTCTTAATTGATGCTTTCCGTTTGCATTTTCTTAAAGGCTAATTGTACAAGCATAAAATACAGGTTGTCCTGGACTTTGGATCACAAATGAGCCCCAAGTTACCATTGCAAGGCAAGGCAGTTGTTAAATTTTGCGCCCTTATTACTAACTTATTACTTTAGCCACATTTGTTAAGTAAACCACTGCAGTTATTAAGAGGATCATGCAGTCGTTAAATGGATTCCCTCACTGACTTGCTAGTCAGAAGCTGGGGTGTGAGGGTTACAAATGGTGATCACATTTTTATTTATTTTGCGTTTCACATGACCCCAGGAAAATACAACTGTCCTAAATACATGTCAGTTGCCAACCACCAAAAATATTTGATCACGTGACCATGGGGATGCTGCAGCCGTCATGTGAATAAAAGTCAGAAGATACTTTTTTTCAATATCACTGTAACTTGGAAAGGTCACTAAACAAACGGTTGCAAGTCAAGAACTACTTGCAAATAAAAATTTTAAAAAGGAAAACATACTACCATACTAAATGTGCCTTTGGATCTAACTGGGATGTAAAAATTTGAGTTTCTCACTTTTCTCTCCCCTTATCTTTCTCTTAATTCTCTTTCATGAGAACCTCACTGTATTTGCTTTCTAAAGTTTCAAACAAATTGGCATTTAACTGGAATCAAACTTCATTTTTAAAAAATCATCTGAGAAACCAGCAGTCACATGACAAGGACTTGTCTTTTGGGACTTTCTGTCCAAACCACAAAAGCAAACTCTAGAAAACTCAGTATTTTCGGGCTCTCTATTCTCAAACAGTGAAGGGGAAAACAAGAATTTCAGTTTTTACAGGGAGAAAGACACAGAAACCACATCATAACAGGGTTGATGAGCAATCTGGGAACTGTAAGTCATAAAAGATATTCTCAGTCTCCTTCTGTATTAAAAATTACACAAGTTTTCTTTTGCCTCAAATTAGTTCAGACCCCAAAGAAAATTTTCAGTTTTCAATATGATGTATCATATTAACACACACTTCAAACGGATATTCAGTTTTTCACTCATCCCTTAGCATCTTCTAATTTGCATATATTAGCAGCAAAGGCAAAAAATCATTTTGATCATTAATTCAAATGCCTTCTTGAAAGCCTAATGGACACAAATGTACATACACAACCTGAGCAGATTGATAACAGCACTAATTTACTTTGCAGGTTGCAAAGAGTAGATTAAATCAGAAAAATCTTTGTACTCCGGTACTACTTTAGGACTTCAACTCCCAGAATTCCTAGCTAGTCCTGGCATACCATGGGGAGGGTTGTAGGTGATGGAAGGCTGGGCACAACCAATTCTGCCTCTCATATATGGGAAAGTTAAGCTACATGCAACCTCACGCTACTTTGCGGACTGTTATGAGTAAAGCAGCAGGAGGGAATTAACTGTTTGTGGGGGATAAAAATACAATGGGATAAAATATATAAATTAAATTTGGTGCATGAAGTGTTTAAATAGGATCTTTTGATCTAAAGAAGCTACATAGATGTTAATGTAATTGATTAATTATAATACTTGCCATGATTTCCATCTCTTGTGCCCAGCTCTTAAACCCGCTAAGGTGAACCCTTTCTCAATTTTCTCCCCCTACCCAAAACTCCAATTCCCATTTGACAACTTCTTTTCCCACATCTGAGGATTGAGCTCAGCAGCAAAGAAGTAAAGAACCACAACAGCCACCACAATAGGGGCTGCCTGAAAAGCGGGGCAGGAGAACACCACCCCCAAACGTAGGCAGGTTAAAATAATCCACTATTAAAATTGGGATCTAATTTCAACTCTGGGGCTCTTGGTTCATGCACTGCTTAACTTTGTTGCATGGAAAAGCTACTACTCCTACTGCTAAAATGATGAAAATGTCACAGAGGATAGCAGACCACAGCCGGGTTTTTTGGGGGGGCGGGGAGGTGGAGGAGAAACTTTAATGCATTGGGATGGGAGACCACCAGGAAAGGTCACAGTTTAGTCTTACACCAAGGTTTCTCAAGCTTGCCCAATTTAAGATGTGTGGACTTCAACTCCCACAATTCTCCAGTGGCTGGTAGGGAATTCTGGGACTTGAAAACTGCACCATTTTAAAGTTGCTCAAGTATGAAAAACCTGGTGGAGACCGAATTCAAAGAACATCAAGGTCACCAAAACAATTAACAAATCTGTCCTTATGGAGATCAAGAGACTTGAGGTCAGCTAAAGGGCGATATTCCATATAGAAGCCACCGCAATGGTAAATAATAACAGTTATAATCTACCCAACAGCTCAGACTCTTCCAAGGATTATTATCTCCAGATTATTTACACTGTAAATTTGTAAACCTTACATCAAAAAGGAGATAAAAATGTAGGGAATGGCTCCCTTTAAAAAGAAGGAAAAGATGCTGAAAAACGTCCGCTGAGGTTTCCACTCACCCCACCTCCCCTAAAAGCCGGGACTCCTTAAAATCGCTTTCAGCACCCCGAGGCCATCCAGACGTGTCTCATGACTACTCCGATTTGCGGTCGGGGATAATGGGAGTTGTAATCCAGACACACACAAACACCACAAGGCAACCATCGAATCAGAGGCAGAGGGACCCTAATTGTTTCGCCGAGGACCTTCCCGGCTCCCGCAATCCTTTTCCCCGGAGCAAACCGGTTCAGGGTAAGGTTCCCACGCTGACCTTTCTTCCCGCTGGTTGGCCATGATGCGAGTCGGTGACTTCTTTTTTTTTTTTTCACCTGCGGGCTTCCAAAGGTTCCTCCAGGGAATCGCGTCGCCTCTCTGCGAGAGAACGGAGGCTCGACCGGCCTTCTAAACAGAAAGAACGTGTCGTCATAACCACGGCGGCCAATCGGGGGACTTCCTGTGCCGGCAACAAAGGTTGCCCCGGGCGATTCCGGCGTTCTCGTCACAGCAAAGGGGTTCGCCCCGCCCACTTCATTCATACTCCTCCGGAGGCGCTTCTGCTCCGCCCCCGCCCCCCCAGGCTGGAGGCGCGCGGGAGTTGGGAGCGTGGAAGGAGGCGCCGGTGTGTAAAGCGAGGATTTTCACTTACGCGTCTCCCTGACACGTGGGCCGGGGAGGATGCGAACGCACGTGGAGGCTGCGTCTGCGTCTTCCCAAGCCCTCGCTCACTTCCAGCAATCCACGCCGGGAAATCTGAATCACAGACACTCTACATAATACGTCCGCGGAACATTTGCCAGAGAGAGGAGGAATTCCCCGTTTGCCTCACAACGTCCCCCTCGCCTAATTTTCCTGTTAAAACCTTCCTGTTTTGTTTTTTTTAAGTCGATTTTATTTTTACAGTGTCTGGCTGTGTTTATGGGGGAGGAAATTGTGAAAGTTTTGGGGAAAGGCGAAGTTCTTTTTCTATTTTTCTCCACTACCCCATTGGCTCCAATACTCGGAGAATAAGATGAGAGATGAAAACAAAGCGGCAACCTTTATTGTCCCTTTTTTTCAGTGAACACATTGGCACACGTTAAAAATCGGCACACATTAAAAAATGAAATTTCGTTACCTGCTCTCAAAAGAATATGTTTTTGTGTGTTTGTATGTGTATACACACTAACTCCATATCTTAAAACTGGTCAGGCTTAGTTTTGGGGGAGGAAAATAAGGGGGGGAAATGCTGCCTCTGCCTACCAACATCCATCCGTATTCATCTGGCTAGCTTCCCGTCACTGTGTGTGAGTTGAGGGCTGTTTGGAAACTGAAGAGTATTTGCTGTGTGAGCAAACAGACAGCAAGGAGCCTGGGCATGGCTTAGCTCAACTGTTCTGTACTAAAGCTGGTTGCTGCTGTGAAAATAGAACTGAAACTCCTCTGTGCTTTGCATTTGGAACAGATTAGTTTTCAGGTGGGGTGGGGGAGTACAACTTCCTAGTATCAGAGCACATTAATAATAATAATATAGAAAATACTAATGTTCTGGTGGTCATTTCGAAAAATTCTCTCTGAGAACCTAGAAGCCAAGAGGAACATATGTATCAAATTTCAAACTTGTAGGCTTTATAGTTCAGATTTTGTGATGATGCATGAGTGGTGTTTCACTTTTATATATATAGCTACACACACACACACACACACACACACATTCGTATATATAATATATATGCACATACATATACAAGTAGTCCTCAACTTAAGGGCCACAATTGAACCCAAAATTTCTGTTGCTAAGCAAGACATTTGTTAGGTGAATTTTGCCCCATTTCACAGCCTCTCTTGTCACAGTTAATGTGAATCATTGCAGCTGATGTTAGTAACTGGGATGTCAAGTGAATCTGGCTTTTCCTTTGACTTTGTCAGATGGTGATCCCATGATCCTGGAACACTGGAGCTGTCATAAATAGGAGTTGGTTGCCAAGTATCTGAAAGTTGATCATGTGATTATAAGGATGCTGTAAGGATCAAAAGTGTGAAAAACGGTCATGTCACTTTTTTCAGTATCATCATAACTTTGATCACTAAAATAAGTCATGGACTACCTGTACTATCTATCTATCTATAATTTTTTTATTTTATTTATTTATTTTGTCAAAAGCTAACAATACAATAGAAGAATAAACAAGTTTAAATACAAGAAATAGGAACTAATAATTGGAGATAATAGGACAGGGACAGTAGGAACGATTGTGTACTTATGCACGCCCCTTACAGACCTCTTATGAATGGGGTGAGGTCAATAGAGGTTAGTTTGAGGGTAAAAGAGTGAGGGTTTGAGCAGGTGACAACAGAATCAGGTAGCGAGTTCCAGACATTGACCACTCATGCTGAAATCGTACTTCCTGCAACCGAATTTGGAGTGGTTTACATTTCTGTTTACATTTGGTTTACATTTACATATCTGTTGTGCGCTCTTATGTTGTTGTTAAAGCTGAAATATTCATTAACTGGTAAGACGTTGTAACATATTTTATGTACTATGCTTAAGTCCAATCTTAGCCGGAGTAGTTCAAGGTTGTCTAAGCCAAGAATCTCAAGTCTGCTGGTGTAGGGTATTCTGTTGCAAACAGATGAATGTAGTACTCTTGTAAAATACTTCTGGACTCGCTCAGTTGTATTTATGTCTGATATACAGTGCGGATTCCAGACTGCAGAGCTGTATTCAAGTATTGGGCTAGCAAAGGTTTTAAATGCCCTAGTTTGTAAATCAGTATTATCAGAGGAGAAGCTTTGTAAAATTAAATTTACAACTCTTAAAGCACTTGGCAATACGTGTGTGTGTGTATCTATCTATCTATCTATACAGTATTTGTATATAGCATATGTACACATACATATACAGAGAGAGAGAGAGAAAGAAAGGGGTGTGGGGGGGTGTTTTAATCAAACATGCTGTTACTCATCCTGGGCCAAAGAGGCTGTAGGTGCAAGATAACATCTGATGTGCAATGCCATTTCCCTCTAGATGTGCCATATCTTTTTGAGAAGGTTTTGCCCAATACAGAATGTGACTACAGGTGGTTCTCAATTTATGACCACAGTTGAGACCAAAATTTCTGTTGCTAAGCAGGACAGCAGTTGAGTTTTGCCCCCATTTTACATTTGTGTCACATTTGTTAAGTGAATCATGCAGTCAACAAGCAACATATGGCTTCCCCATTGACTGTGCTCATTGAAAGCCAGCTGGGAAGTTATGAATAGTGTTACATGGCCCTGAGACATTGCAGTGGTCATACATACATACAGGTAGTCCTTGACTTACAACAGTTCATTTAGTGACCATTTGAAATTATAATGGCACTGAGAAAAGTGATTTATGACCCCTTTTTTCACTCTTTATGACTGTTGCAGCATGGCCATGGGCATGTGATTTACATTTGGATGCTTGACAACTGTTTCATCATATTTATGACGGTTGCAGTGTCCCAGGGTCATGTGATTCCCTTTTGTGACCTTCTGAGTAGCAGATGGGGAAGCCAGATTCACTTTACAATTATTAACTTAACAATTGCAGTGATTCATTTAAAAACTGGCAAGAAAATGGGGCAGAACTCAGCAGCAAAACTTTTGGGGCAGAATTACAGTATTAAGCTGTGGATCTTCTGTACTCATTTCCTGCAGCACTTTGCTGAATGCAAATTGGTGCAACTCACAGGTATAACTTTAAATCTGAGCTTGTCGATCAGAAAGGTAGGCAGTTCGGCAGTTCGAATCCCTAGCGCCGTGTAATGGAGTGAGTTCCCGTTACTTGTCTCAGCTTCTGCCAATCTAGCAGTTCGAAAGCATGTAAAAATGCAAGTAGAAAAATAGGGACCAGTTTGGTGGGAAGGTAACAGCGTTCTGTGCGCCTTCAGCGTTTAGTCATGCCGGCCACATGACCACGGAGACACCGCCTCCTAGAGCGGAAACGACTAGCATGTATGTGCAAGGGGAACCTTTACCTTTAGGGAAAAAGGAATTGTAACATGAATTGGAGAGGTAGTTTCTTCAGCTCATTGATGCATAATAAAGCTGGATCACTTCCCTATAGCCTTGGTAAGTGGATGGTTGCACATTGGGAAATAGGGAATGTAATATTACCTGGGAATGACCTTGGAGACAGAAGGAAGAGCTGCAGATTAGATAGTAGTCAGATAAGAGGCAGATAAGATAAAATGGGCCCAGGGAAGGAATGGGGAGATGGCAAACATCCAGAAGTGATTTCCCTAGTTTCTAGGAATGTGTAGGTGGAGGGAAGAAGCCAGTTTCACTTAACAACTGTGTTACTAATTTAACAACTGCAGTGATTCACTTTACAAATGTGGCAAGAAAAGTTGTAAAATGGAACAAAACTCACTTAACAAATTTCTCATTGAGCAACATTAATTCTGGCTCGATTGTGGTCATAAGTCAAGGACTACCTGTACTTGTTTGCCAAATGCCCAGATTGTAATCATTTAACCAGGGGGATGTTGCGACATTGCAAGTGTGAAAAACAGTTGTAAGTCACTTTTTTCAGTGCCTTTGTAATGCTAAGTAGAAACGCACGATTAGCGAACTGGTTGTTACACCAGCAACATCTCACCCTTGCTTAACCACAATGATTGCTTGATTGCTTAGGACAAAAAAAAAGTTTGTAAAATCAGACACAATCACACGATGACTCACTTAGCAACCACTTAGTGAACTGAGCTGGTCCCTATTGTGATTGTAAGGTGAGGACTACTTGTATGTTGATTTGATTTATTACATTTGCTCTCTTCGTCCAATAGTTCTTTTTTCTTTTTAAAGCAGTTATATGTGCTGCTTTGCAAAGAGATTTTTTCAGAGATTATGGCCCACATTCTCCAAGATGTGGTGATTTAAAAGGCGAGCAGTTAGAGTTGATTTATGCTGACCATATATAAGCAATTCTGGGCCTGACTTTTCCCACACTGTCTTTGATCCCATCCTTCTTCCTTAGAGTAGGAAGTGAGTTGAGTCAGATGAAGAAAAGTTTAAATTATACGAAGTGACAGTGTTTACATATCACAAGATTAGAAGAACGGCTGTGGGATTTGGGTTTGGCTAGTCTAAAGAAAAGAAGAATGAGGGGTGATGGGATAGCACTATCCCAGTATTTGAGGAGTTCTCTAAAGCACCAGAGGGCAGGATAAGAAACAATGGTTGGAAACTAATCAAAGAGAGAAGCAACCTGGAATTAAGGAGAAACTTCATAATAGTGAGAACAATTAAGTAGTGGAACAGCTTGTCTTCATAGGTTGTGGGTACTTACTTCATCACTGGAGGTTTTTAAGAAGAGACTGGACAGCCACATCTGAAATATTATAAGTTCTCCTGCTTGAGCAGGGGGATGGATTAGACGACCTTCAAGGTCCCTTCCAGCTCATTCATTCATTAAGCCCTGCTTTGTTTAAATGATGTTTATTTACCAAAATACAACAGGTACAATGACCAGCCTTAGAACGGATAATGAAGATGTTGAAATGGTGAAGAGCATCTGCCTTTTAGGATCAACCATCAACAGTAAATGAACAAAGCAGTCAAGAAACACGCTGCAGACTCATACTTGATAAAGCCTCCATGAAGCCCTTGAAAGATGGTATTCATATACCGGCAGTCCTCAACTTACAACTATTCATTTAGTCGCCATTGGAAATTACAATGGCACTGAAAAAAGTGACTTATCACCATTTGTCACAGTTATGAACAAAATGTTAAAAAGCTATGAAATTTATGCAGTTATTTACCAAGCACATCTAAATTATATTAAAGTAATGAAAATATATTTACAATCCCCAAGGCAGGTCACAACTTTTGAGTACTCCTAATGTTTGGAAGTTGAAAAATTTGACACAGTATCCCCATGATCACATGATCAAATTTCAGCTGCTTGGCACCTGATTCATATTTGTGACAATTGCAGTGTCCTGGATTCATGTCAGAGGTGGTATTCAGCAGATTCTGACCAGTTCTGGAGAACTGGTAGCGGGAAATTTGAGTAATTCGGAGAACCGGTCAATGCCACCTCTGACTGGTCCCGCCTCCATCTATTCTCCGCCTCCCGAGGCCCCAGCTGATTGGCTGGGTCTTCTTTTGTTGCCCTGCACAGGAGAACAGAACTGGAAAGCAGGTTAGTGGAGTGGGGAGGGAATGGGGATTTTGCAGTATCCTTCCCCTGCCACGCCCACCAAGCCACACTCCGCCCACCAAGCCACGCCCACAGAAGTGGTAGTAAAAAAAAATTGAGTCCCACCACTGGTTCATGTGATCACTTTTTCATTTAACAACCCTGTTATTAACTTAACAACTACACTGATTCACTTAACACCTGTGGTAAGTAGGGTCGTAAAATGGGACAAAATTCACTTAATAACTGTCTCACTTAAATTTGTCAGAAAGTTGCAAAAGGGGGTCAAATGACCCCAGAATATTGCAACTGTGATAAATACATGCCAGTTGCCAAGCACCCCAATTTTGATACCAGAGGTGGTATTCATCAGATTCTGACCAGTTCTGGAGAACGGGTAGCGGAAATGTTGAGTAGTTCAGAGAACCAGCAAATGCCACCTCTGACTGGAGATTTTACAGTATCCTTCCCCTGCCACGCCAACAGAACTGGTAGTAAAAAAAAAATGAATCCCACCACTGCCCCACACAAGCCAGTTTTGGATGCAGGTAAATGCAAGCGCGTGTGGAGGCTATCAAGGAGGGTGAAAAACGGGCCTCTCAGAAGTTCAGGAAGGTCGGAAATGGGTCTCTTTCCAGCTTCCAGAGCCCAGGAAAACCATTTTCATCCTCCTGGAGGCTCGAGGAAAGCCTCTGGAGCCCAGGGAGGGCAAAAAATTCCTCCCCTCGTGCCATGGTGCAGGCCGACTAGGCCATGCTCACCATGGCCACGCCTACCCAGCAACCAGGCAGGGAACCTTTTGCTAACATTTTTGAAGCCCACCCCTTCTTAAGATCCCAACACACTGGAAGTTGCCCCAAAACAAGGATTAGTTGCAACCCAGACTCAACAACCAAAGGAAAAGCCAAACCGATGTAAGACGGTTGTAGATGTTGTAAGTCTTTGTTTATCTCCTGTAGCTACCTGCCTGCAATTAAAGATGACCTGAAGGCTTCATCTTAACTGGTTGAATCACTGGTGCCTATCACACACATCCGGGAGAGTATCCAAGGCTACCAGACACATCAGAGTTGAATCAGTGGATAATGGGAGCTTGTGGTTTTATCATCTGCTTAGCAGTCAGTCTTACAGTAGCAGGATACTGGGAGAGGATGATAGATCTCACACCCTGGACATAATAGCTGGTATCTCCTGCTCAGAAAGAGATTGGCTATCGGCTGTGTGCCTGACAGTCACCAATGTCTTGTTGAAGTATACTGACTCATTCCAGCTGACTCATTCCAGCCTTCCAAGGATCCCACCCACCATGATCCTGTATGATATCTCAAGATACATCATGAGTTGGAGGACTGGTATTCTCACATGGGTCAACGAAAGGAACATCCAAGACAACCCTGCTGTCTGTCACACCAAACTCTCTAATGTGTCTGGACAAGTCAAGGAGGAACCATCTCTTGAAAATTGTAGATGAGACAGGGCACTAGAATTCAAGGAAGGGTGGTATCAGTCCTCCAAGGTAGGCCAGGTTAGAAAAGAGATACTGAAAGGACTACTGGAACTCTATGGTTCTGGAACAGTGTTTCTCAACCTCAATGATTTTAGAATGTGGGTTTCAGCTCCCAGAATTCCCCCGTCAGCACACTGGGCACACACAAACTTCTATAGCAACATTAGGTAAAGATAAAGGTTCCCCTCGCACATACGTGCTAGTCGTTTCCAGCTCTTGAAATGGTGCTCATCTCCGTTACAAAGCCAAAGAGCCAGCACTGTCTGAAGACGTCTCCGTGGTCATGTAGCCAGTATGATTAAATGCCAAAGGCACACGGAACGCTGTTACCTTCCTACCAAAGTGGTTCCTATTTCTCTACTTACAGTTTTTACATGCTTTCGAACTGCTAGGTTGGCAGAAGCTGGAGCAAGTAATGGGAGCTCACTCCGTTACGCAGTGCTAGAGATTCAAACCGCCGAACTGCCGACCTTTCTGATCGACAAGCTCAATGTCTTAGCCACTGAGCCACCGCATCCCTATAGCAAGATTATAACAGAGCTACATTGGGCTGCAAGTTTTTTTTCAGGCTTATTATCATTTATTGTCATTATTGTTAGAGTTTGTCAGCCAGATGTTTAAACTGGATTTGCCAATGTTGTTGTTGTTGTTGTTGTTGTTGTTGTTATCAAGAGAATGTATAATGGAATAAAGCTGGCTTGCAAGTCATTTGAGACAGGGGACAGAACTAAGTGATGTTGTTAAGCAAGACCATGCTGGATTTACAACCTCACTCCCACTGTGGTTATGTGAATCATCTGCAGTCAATAAGTGAGACATCATGTGACTGCAGCTTGTGATTTTACTAATGGCTTTTCAATGGACTTTGCTTGAGATAATCATTGATGCCCACATCTTGGGCAAATATGGCCTTTAGTCACTTTTTTCTTATATGACTTCCATTGTTTTATCAACATATGAAATATGAAGAAAAATAAAAATAGCAAATTAAGGAAAGGAAAAAAAGAGGGAAAGAAAATATGAGGTACAAGGGAAGAAAAAAAGGCATTGACTTCAACTCATTTTGACACAAGACAACATTACAAGCTCAACTTTTTACTTTTACACTTTAGTATATAACTAGCCATTTCTAGCCATAACTAGCCACAACAAATCTATCTAATCGGCATAACCAGTTTCATTTTTTTTATCACAAGCACAAAATACAGAAGTGACATCCAAATAAAAAAACATAAATATATACTCCTCTTTGAATAGAACAATCCATTTAATCATTTCTGCTTTACCTTCCTTGCTGTTGAAATAATGTCTTTCTATGTACACCAGTGGTGGGATTCAAAATTTTTTACTACCGGTTCTGTGGGTGTAGCTTGGTGGTTATGGCTTGGTGGACGCGGCAAAGGAAGCATACTTCAAAATCTCCATTCCCATCCCACTCCTGGGGAAAGGTTACTGTAAAATCCCATTCCCTCCCCACCCCACTAACCTGCTTTCCAGCTCCATTCTCCTTTCCAGGGCAACCAAAGAACACCCAGCCAATCAGCTGGGACTTGGGAGGCAGATAATAGATGGGGGTGGGGCCAGTCAGAGATGGTATTTGCTGGTTCTCCGAACTACTCAAAATTTCCACTACTGGTTCTCCAGAACTGGTCAGAACCTGAATACCATCTCTGATGTACAGGTAATAACCTTTATAAACTATCACCATTTACATTAAGAAAATTCACTCTATCAGGTTTTTTAACCAAAGGAAAAAATACTATTTTTAATCCACTTTAAAACACTAATCTTTCTTTAAAAACATTTCTAAAATCAAAACATTCTAATACATCTTTTTTAAAAAAACTTCATCTTGACCTAGTCACTTTTTTCAGTGCTGTTGTAATGTTGGACACTAAACACACATTGTCCTAAGTGGAGGACTAGAAAGGTGAGGCTAGTTAGAAGATGGGGCAGTGCAGGATGCAGCAGGTGGGGGAACTTCACCAGGAAAAAACGTACCGTACGTTTGCAATTCAATCAAGTTTGATGACCCCCTTATCAGCTGGATAGCAGTCAGCATGACTGTAACTTTGGGCGCTTTATTCAGTTTGATATCGTATCTGCTTTATTTTATTACAGTGAGGAAACCTAAGTCAATAAAAGACAGGTAATCAGGGATCAGAGGCGGGGAAGGAAAAGAACGGTTTGGGTTGTACACAGAGGCCCACGTGCACACTTGCCTCTCCAAAGAGCAAACAATTTCACGTTGCTTGATTGCGTCCAACGTGTCCCTGGAAGGGCAACGGGAGGGCGTTTCATGCTAACTGGGCTGCCAAGCCAATAATCATGTGCCATGGTGGCAAGAGCTCTCTGACATTTGGGTTCAAAGGGAATATTGCTCCCTGAATTGACTCTGGACTGCTTACACAAGTGTTGTTGCAGACACATGTTGCAAAGAAACGGCCCGATCAAGCCCCTTATCTTACTCCGTTTGTACATTTGCAAAAGATTTGACATTTCTACTCATGCAAGTCCAGAGGGATCATGTGAGGTACTAATACCATTCTATAAAGCTTTAGCAAGGCCGCACCTAGAGTACTGCATCCAGTTTTGGTCACCACACTACAAAAAAGACGTTGAGACTCTAGAAAGAGTGCAAAGAAGAGCAACCAAGATGATTAGGGAACTGGAGTTCCCTAATCAGGCATAAGGCATATGAAGAACAGTTACAGGAACTGGGCTTGGCTAGTCTAGTGAAGAAAAGGACCATGGGAGACATGATAGCAGTGTTCCAATATTTGAGGGGCTGCCACAGAGAGGAAGAGGTCAAGCTGTTTTCCAAAGCAACCGAAGGCCAGACAAGGAATAATGGATGGAAACTGAACAAGGAGAGATTTAACCTGGAAATAAGGAGAAAGTTTTTGACAGTGAGAACAATCAACCCATGGAACAGAAGTTCCCTTCAGAAGTTGTGGGAGCTCCATCACTGGAGGCTTTCAGGAAGAGATTGGACTGCCATTTGTCAGAAATGGTGTAGGGTCTACTGCTTGGGCAGGGTGGGGGAGTTGGACTAGATGACCTACAAGGTCTCTTCCAACTGTTAATCTGTAAGAGGGGTGATGGAGTTCATCCTCTTTCTTTTTAACAAAACTGTGAAGGGACCCCAAATCAGGAGTCTGACAGCATTTTCTCCAAATTTTCTTAAAAGGCATAAGCTTTGGTCAGTAATGGTTTATGAATGAAGGCAAGTAAACATGTCCCAGGAGAATGTTGCAGGATCCAATCTGAGTCAGTCACCGAGACCAGAGGTTTACTCAAAGTTGGTAAAATCAGAGGTTTACCCTTTTTCTGGAGGCAACCAGGGGTGGGATTCAAATTTTTTAACAACCAGTTCTGTGGGCGTGGCTTAGTTGGTGGGCGTGGTTTGGTGGTGGTTTTTGGCTGGGCATGGCCAAGTCAGTATCACTCACATCGAGGCACGCATCTCCTCCCCTGGCCTCTCATAACTGTGGGGATGCTGCAACAGTCGTAAATGTGAAAAACGGTTATAAGTCACTTTTTTCTGTGCCATTGTAACTTTGAATGGTCACTCCACACAAGCGAAGTACCAGCAAAGGAGGGGAAAAAAACTCCAGAGTCATTCCTGTAGTGTATTCATGTACAAACTTCTAATACCACATTTCTATTGGTTAGTCCACATAGCTTAACGATTGGTTAATAACGACAGTTTCAGATTGGCCGCCTAAGCGGCAGGAAGTTTAAATAAATGCCATTGGTTGCGAGCCACAAGCAGCTGCTATAAAAAGGGCTGCTGCGGCTCAACTTTAGCTGAAGTTACTGGTTGGTAATAAAGAGCTGAATTCAACTCTGGTCTTCAAGTCTGCTTTGTCCTGGCAATAGAACAATTCCTGAGACAAGAAGTCTAGTCCTGCCAAGAATGGAATAAGGGTTAATGGAGAGGCAGTTTCTGTAAGCAACACCAGAATGTTTCCTTCCTGCCTTCCTTACAGGATTAGGCCAGTAATTTCTTCTAACAACCGGTTCTCTGAACTGCTTAGAATGTTAACAACCGGTTCTAGCGAATAGGGGAGAACTGGTAGAATCCCACCCCTGGAGGCAACTGGACTTTTGTTGGTTGTTTTTTTTTAAGGCATTTCACTTCTCATCCAAGAAACTTCTTCAGCTCTGACAGGTTAGTGAGAATGGAAGGAGACTACAGGAACCAGGAGCACTACACAGGTGACCCTGAGGACACAGATAAACCTCCCAGTGCTTCAACGACTCTCTGAAAGGATGCCTGCAAGGAATATAAATCCTTCCGTTCCCCACTGTTCTGTCAGAGCTGAAGAAGCTTCTTGGATAGGAAGCAAAATGACTGCAAATAAAAAACAACAAAGTCCAGCAGCCTCCAGAAAAAAATAGCACCTTTGGGACAACCATGAACTGGATGACTGAGAATCTCTGCAGACTAGAGGTTTAATTCTTCCAAGCCCCTCCATGGTCTCTCATTTTGGAGAGAGAGAAGTTCCCTGAGGATAGGCTCCATCATGAACCCAAAAGCTTGCAAGAATAAACCTTGGACACTGGTGATTGACTCAGATTGGATCCTGGGATAGTGGTTCAGTTCATCAGATGCACAGAGGGACTAGGCCAACATTTCTCAACCTTGGCAGCTGGAACATATCTGGACTTCAACTCCCGGAACTCCCCAGCCAGCCATGCAGATTGAGAAATTCTGGGAGTTGAAGTCGAGGTATCTTCCAGCTGCCCAAGCTGAGAAACAGTGGGCTAGACCAGTAGTCGCCAACCAATGGTCTGGGGACCACTGGTGGGCCACAAGAAAATTTTGGTGGTCTGCAGAAAAATGTCCCCCCCAAAGCACTCCCCCCAAAGCAATTAATCCAGGCTGCATGGGAACAGAAGGCTGCGACACTCACATGGCCCACTACCCACTGGCCCCACCCTTCGGCTGAGCACAAACCTTACCTTGA